GTGTGTGAGTGTGTATGAACGAGTTAGTTTCTGTTCGATGGACTTTGCCATCACTGAGTGAATGTGTGTGAAAGAGTGAATGTGGCATGTAGTGTGAAAGCGCTTTGAGTGGTTGGAAGGTGCTATACAAGTACAGGTCCATTTACCATTTACCAATTGTGAGCTAGGCCCTCTCACTGGGCGTCATCAATGGGCTGAATTCCCACAGACATGGTTTTAGATTACACTTTTCAGTATGCAGACACCCAATGTAGCATAAACAGTTTCTTGTTTGCTGTCCATGTCCAGTTTGTAGTATCCAACCCTTAAATCAGCTCGCAAACCCTCAGCTTTATTGGTTTAACCCCCAGGTTGGGAATCGCTGTGTTATGGGTTAATAGTTTGACTACAGGTTATTCAGAAAGGGTTCTTCTTTTTGTGGTGTTGTTGGGGCCTACCTTGATATTTATCTAGCGTGGTAAAACCAAAATGCATGCACTCGGTTTCTTAAATGTAAGTAGTGCATTTGTAACTGAACCCTTTTTATACTATGGGGCCATTTTTTTGTTTTCTCCTTCTAAAGTAAGTAAGTGTGTTCTTGCTTTCCTCCAGGTTTCCAGGGGGCATTGCAAAACTGGCAAGGTATATCCATGACCGTGGACTAAAGCTGGGCATCTATGCAGACATGGGCACTCACACATGTATGGGATTTCCTGGCACCACACTGGACAAAATTGAGCTAGATGCCCAGACCTTTGCTAGCTGGGGGGTAGACTATCTGAAGTTTGACGGCTGTTACTCAAATCCTTTAGAACAAATGCTGGGTAAGCGCATCTACTAACCTACTGAATTGCATGGAATGAAATCATTAACATTCTTTAGTACAAGAAGCTATTTTTTCTTGTGTCACACAGGTTACCCTCTGATGTCCAAGGCTTTGAATGCTACAGACAGACCTATAGCCTACTCCTGTAGTTGGCCTGTCTATGTGGGAGGACTTCCACCTGCTGTGAGTGTCATCTCTACATCACTGTAAAGGTTGTTGGGTCATTGGCAGTTCCTGAAATGGGCCTTGGCAGTACTGAGTACCAGGACATCTGTTTTTGTCCACATGAGTACCCTTACTTCTTATTGAGTACTGCCACCTCTGGTTAGCATGGCCATAGCCAGCTCATGTCAGTGAGTTGATATTTTTACCACAGGGTATACAATAAAAATCCAGGAAATAATTGTCTAAAAATAACCCCTATCAAGTTCAGTTTTTGGAACTCTGTATTTCTAAAATCCTGCATACAGCAGTGCTGATTAGGTACTCCTAAACAACTTGGTCTCTTTGTAAACATGTAGATGGTTTAACGCAAAAGAAAACAGAACTAAAAAGGATACAAAATGACAAAGAATTAGGGTTAGGGTCATGTTGGGTTTTGGGTTAGGGTTGAATTAGTGTACTGGCACCTTTTCTGGTCCATTTCAGGCACTGGTCACTGGGATTTGGTTGTGCCGATATTCTGAAACAAGACTGAATTTTTGCTTGTTTTGTTGATCATTTTTCTTATCAGTCCACGATAACATACATGGTATCGCTGGGAAATTTTAATTCTGCTTTCTAATACACTAAACACACCTCAATTACTCAGACACAGGCAAAGCTTCCTCAGGGTGAAACTTCTGGTCAACCTTTTACAGTCACACTGACATAATTCTATGCTCTTGCAACAATGTTTCACCAAGACTGAATGGTATTTTTTTTTTTTTAAACGGCAGATTTTAGTTACTTTTTTGTGTGTAACTTTAGACCAACGGAGAGTCACAGTGACCATCAAAGAGATTTCAGCTGTCATGTTACTCCAGTCAGATTGAATCACTACAGTGGAGACTGTGGCTCTCTGTCACCATCTGGTGGCTGCATTGACATACTGTCATATAAATAATAATAAATAAACTAGACAACACTGAAATACTCTAAATGAGATGAATCTGGTGATACTTACTTGTTTCATCATTCTAGTGCCTTGTGCTCTTTATTTATCAGCCTATATAGCCATTCTCATATATAGATAAATGATATTGATAAATATCATTGTGTTTGTTAGCTTTTCAATGTTGAGATTTATGGCTATATGATATGAAATAGTGTTTTGAAGTAAATCTCCCAGTGAACATGTAAACAATAAACATGGCTATACATAACATAAAGACCACCAGAGTGTGTCTTCATAGATTTTCTCATGAATGTTTAGTGTATATTCTAAAATCTACAGTTACAGTGGGAGAAGACCTTCAGTTGCATTATTATCGATATTATCTTGATTATAATGGACCTTTTAGATCTTATAATAGGTGAGGATGAAAATCTTATTTTCCCTTTATTGTATTTTTATTTACTCTGGAATAGGTTTATTTACAATGGATTCACATTTCTAAGCTTCTTACCTATCAAAGTTTAATCACTTTGGGTGTGTTATATGAGGCATTTATTTCCCGGGGATATGGTGTGGGGTTAACAGTCTGTTTCCCTGCTCTTACCAGGTGAACTACTCTCTGCTGGGGGAAATTTGTCACCTATGGAGGAATTACTATGATATCCAGGACTCATGGGACAGTTTGCAAGGCATTGTTGAGTGGTTCTCCAACAACCAGGATGATCTGCAGCCAGCTTCAGGGCCTGGACGATGGAATGACCCTGACATGGTATGATGCATTTGTTTTATTATTATTGATCATATACCTTAAGACATTACACAACTAATCATTCAGGTAATCAGAAAAGGCATCATGTTTTCAGATTGTCCGTCCATCTGTCCCATTCTTGTTAGCTCAATATCTCAGGAACGCCTCTTCAAATTTGGCACAAATGTCCACTTGGACTCAAGGATGAGATGATTAGACAAGGTCAAAGGCCACTGTAACATAACAAAACACATTTTTGGCCCTAGCTTGATTGATGACCATATTTCACAACTGGTCAGACAATTAATTGGTAAAACTTTTTACTCAAAGTTCAAAGGTCACTGTGGGCTCAAAATGACCTTGATAAATATGTTTTTGGTCATAACACAAGAATAAATGCAGTCAACGCATCACACAGATGTTTAATGGACACTGAATTGGTGATGCTAAATTCTATTCACTGTTCTTTTAATCAGTTAAAAAATGCATATTTGCTGGAATCATACATAGGTACCATGAAAAACACACCTTTTTTCTATCATTCTTTCCTTATATGAGTCAGGACAGATATGGATTTAAATTGGAACTTGACTGGTTGGCGGAGGCATACAGAATCAGAATCAGAAATACTTTAATAATCCCAGGGGGAAATTATTTTCCAACACTCCAGATATACAAACGACATATTATACACACAATATATTTATATAATTAGTGTATATATATTTATATAGTACAACATTCAGCACAAAGAAATATAATATATAATATAGATATATATATTAAAGTAAATAAAACATATAAAAAGCATATTCTATAATAGTTTACTATAGAATAAATTAAAATGAAATTTCTGCTAAGGTGCCCTACACACAAAACCAGAAACACAAAAAAGAGACAGTTGTACAATGGAAAACTAGAAAATTTTGGCTTAGTCTGCTTGTTTGTCTGCCTACCAAAAACAAACACACAAACCAACCAGAATGTGCGCGAGAGATCGTACTGGCCAACTGATCATAAAACATCCTCAGCAATCGTCCGCCAAAAAAACACACCAGCCTCCTTAAACAACACACACAAAATTTTGTAGACAGCCCTCAGTGAAATCTAAAAACAAATCCACTAAAAAAAGGGACACTCTACTATTTGCATTAAACAAAAACAAGTAGAAACCCAACATATTTAAAAACACACATCCTCATTTTCCCCCTTAAGAACGGAAAAAACAAACAAAACACACACTGCTTCCAATATTGTAAAAATCGTACATTTTGCATCACGGAAGCAAGAGTCTCATATCTTAAAAAAATTAACTAACAAACACTCAAAACACGGTCAAGGATAGCACCAATCAAAATTATGAATCAACTACATATATAACCCACCTACAAAAAATGTTTCCACGGTGAAATGCTCAAAATACACCCGCCAGGTAACAATACACCTCCACCAGTGACAACACAACAACACAAATGGATGGAAAAAGGGGCACATGTTTCGAACAACACATAAACAAATTGCCCACCACAGTCCTATATAACAACTGTCATAAACACACAAAAATCTATGCACACACTAAAACAAAACACAAGAAATACTTCCTTGAATGTGCCAGGACTCGGTGCAAAGTTGAAGTCTGAGGTAAAGTGTTAAGGAAGGGGAGAGGACAGCCCTGGGGGCCCCAGTGTGCTGACCACACTGTCAGTAACACACAACAGAGGCGTAACTACTAGTGTCTTGCCCGTCGTAATCACAAATCCGCAGGGACACGATGAGCCCCATCTCACCCAGTAGATAGTATACAACCACGGGGCGGTAATTCTAGTTGTATTTGGTTTGTTTAGGTTCAAACTACCCAATCACCAGCAAACCTTGACTCATATACAGTCATAAGGCCCACAGGTAACAGGTGGACATGTCCACTATAATGTGGTCACATTTGAAAATGTAATGTTACCTCTGATATCTCTTCTCAGCTCATCATTGGAAACTTTGGTCTCAGTGTGGACCAAGCTCGCTCTCAGATGGCTCTGTGGGCAATAATGGCTGCCCCTCTCATCATGTCTAATGACCTTCGAAACCTGGGCAACATTGAGAGAGCAATCCTGCAAAACAAAGTGGCCATTGCCATCAACCAGGACCCCTTGGGTATCCAGGGAAGACGCCTCTTGCAGGTCATCATCAGTTACAGTTAGAACTCTGTAAATCACAGGGAGTTGAAGCTGAGCAGCTGGAGGACATCAGAAGGAAAACCAGAAAATATTTTTTTTTATAAAATATGATCTGGTTTCACCAAAATCACATAATAAAGTCATAAAGCTGTGCTTTTGTACAGTAATCAATGAGGCCAGGGTATATTTCTCTGTAATACATCGTCTCTCAGAAACATGTTCCAGCGGCACATTAAGAAAGATAGCATTTCATTGGATGCAGAGTTAGTATATGCCTCTGAGTGCAGAGTGGAGAATCTTTATTGTTTCACAGGAAATGCCATCAACACCCAGAAATACATTGTTAGGCCAGATACTGTATTTCGCTAGACATATGCGATAAAAAAATTAAATCAAGGAAGGTCTTTGAAGAGCAGACTTATATTTTATGTTGTGTTGTTGCACAGGAGAAGAGTCGGATTGAGGTTTACTGGAGGCCTCTATCTCATTCAGCCAGCGCCCTTGTGTTCCTGAGTCGTCGGACAGACATGCCCCACCTCTACCACACCTCCTTGGCTAAACTCAACTATGATGCTGGCAACTATGAGGTCTGAACACTATTACCCTGTGAATTAATCTTTGCAGACAGTACACTTAAAAATTGGGTGGATAAAGGCATTCAAATAATTGGGGACCTATACACAGAAGATATATTCTCTAGTTTTGAGCAATTGTTCTGTAAATACAAGCTGCCTCAACATAACCTGTTTGAGTACTTGCAAAACAAACACTGGGCCAAAGCAAGATAGGCTAAAAGATGTCCTGGCATGTCAGGGGGGAGCCTGCTGGAGAAAGAGCTACCTAATACCTAATGTTGGCTATTTATAACATCCTCAACAATAATTGTCCTGAATATGAAAAACCTCTTACCAAACACACATAAGAGTTATATCTAAATTGCTCATATGATAATTCAATTCAGTTTTATTTGTATAGTGCCAATTCATAACAAAAGTTATCTCAGGACATTTTTCAAATGGAGCAGGTCTAGACCGTACTCTTTATAAATGCTGACTGGCAGAAACTCTTGGAACAAGCTCAACCAAGGGCCGAAGACATCCAATCCCACATAGATGAATTCTACAAAGCTTCTGAAAGGTGATGCACTTGTATTGTGTATGACTGACCAGATCGGATGGCCCCTTTGGTGAAATGGCGATCTTGATGTTTTACCTGCTTGTGGTGATGGCATACTAGCAGAGTTGAGACATGGTTGTGTTTAGATAGAACTAAGGGGTTCTTCTCAGCATGTTCCAGTGGCGCATGCTTGAGCCTGCCTCCAATTCTCCTTAGGCCTTCTTCAACAACATGACTGAGTTTAGAGAGTGGGCTGCTTTTGGGCAGGATTTTCCCATCACTGAGGGCAGAGTATTCCACTGGGAAAGCTTATTTTTGAACTACAGTTATGATAACGTCCATAGCTTGAGAACACTCATCAGGAGTTCGGGGTTGTTTGCACCAGTGCCACCCTTTACATCCTTTGGTATAGTCGGTAGACTTGTCAGATCAAGCTATATGGATAAGGAACATTATACCTCTCAGTAGTGAGTCCCATGTAGAGAAGTGTTTGAATCGATCTGTGGTGAGTCTCTGCCTTTGAACTTGTGTAAACTTGTCAACTTGGGCCGACGTCAAATTCAGGTTTCTCTTGCAGACCCTTATATGGTCTGAAGGAAAGCTGGTCCGCTGAACCATGTTGTTCTTGCAAGGCGAGATGCAGGGACAGCCCTGGACGCATGATCAGCAGGATTGTGCTCTACAAGAACATAGAACCACTGCTCTGGCTTGGTCGACTGACGTCTTCACTGGACTCTGTTGTGCACATACACATAGAAGCGCTTTACCTCGTTATGTATGTATCCAAGGACTACTTGCTATCACAGTAAAACTTTACTGCACCCATCTTCAGGTCAATCTCATCAAGGAGGAACTCTGCCATTTCTACTGCTAGGACCAAAGCACAAAGTTCGAGCCTAGGGATGGTAGGATTAGACTGAGGAGCTAGCTTGGCTTTTCCTAGGATGAAGCCGACCTACGCACATTCCATTTTTGCCAATGGCCCTGGGGCAGTGGGGCATCCCAATTGGATGTGTCACTGGTGAGTTCCGGCAGTAGAACACTTCCTTGTGCAGTGACTGGAGAGGCCAGACCAAGGGGGACCCACCAAAATTTAATGTGTCACAACCCAAGACTCCGCTGTATAGATGTTGTCTCTCCACTAAGGTCCATATCCTTTATGCCTTGAGCATGATCCTCTGGTGGGAAAGCGTTAATTACTGCTGGGCTGTCTCTTGTGAAGGTGGAGGTTTGACTCAGCGAGAGATGCTTGGGTCCTCTGGAGGAGACTGATTGCCTCTGTGTCAGTGGGCAGGGACATGAGCCTGTTGTCCAAGTAGAAGTGTCTCTCTACAAACTCTTGTGTATTTGTACCATGTTCATGTTTGCCCTCTTTTGTAGCAAGTCTAAGCTCATAGATGGCAATTCAAGGTAAAGGCTATTGCCGAAAACATGGACTTTCATCCTGTTCTCAACAATGTCCTTTGTTGGATGATTATTCCTGGACCACAAGAACCTCATGAAGTTGCGGTGGTGGTCTCAGACAATAAAGCAGTGGAACATTTTTTGAATGTCTGCCATGATTGCCACTTGCTCTCTCCAGAAACGGATAAGGACTCCCAACAGGCTATCGTTGAGGTCAGGGCCCGTCAACAGCACATTGTTAAGGGTGACTCTGTCTTCCTGTGCACTGGAATTGACCACCCTAGTTTGATTTGGTTTTTGAGGGTGGTAGACACCAAATGTTGGCAGGTACAAGCACTCCTCATCTTCCATCAGAAGGGGGGCTGGCTCTGCATCATCATCCTCAAAAACCTTTTCCATGAAGGCTATGAACTTTTGCTTCATTGCATGTTTCCTGTCGACGGTTCAACACAGTGAAGCAAGGCGAGTGAGTGCTTGCTTGCGGTTGTTTGGGAGTCATCTTTGTGGCACCCTGAAGGGAAGTGGAGCAACCTAGTTGTTTTTCTCATCCCTGTACACCTCTGCTTTCATAATCCTTAGAAAGGCTGTATCTTCAATGGATAGTGCAAGCTTGTTGTTGTTTTTGGTTGTTTGGAACAGACTGTGACCCAGGTTCTGCTCTGTAACTCTCTCCACATTAGATTTGTGTCCATGACACACTCTTTCTTTTAGGTTCATGATACTGTTGCAGGGTGTCTAGTAAGAAGGGCGTCCATTCAACATGTGGGTTTTGAAGGTGCTCACGTTAGGCTTGTAGGTGTTTCCAAGGCATACTTCCCCAACCACAACCCAGCCCAAATCCAATCTCTGGGCAAAGGGGGCATTGTGAAGTCCATTAACCTGTGGTCTCACCTTGTGTACTCTTATAATGTCTCTCCCTAGCAAAAAAAGTATTTGGGCATTAGGATCAAGGACCACCTTTCTGCCTGACATGTCGATGACTCCAGTACATGTTCTTAATGAGTAAGGAGAGAAGTGGCTCTTGACATCAAATAGTTCGAACAATTCTGGCTTTGCCATAGAGCGGTTGCTCTGGTCATCGAGTATGGCATATATATTGATGGCCTTGGGGAAATACTCAAACCAGGTATGTTTCAGAGCAGGACATTGCTGGCTGCCTTTCACCACAAATCTCGGTGCAGTTGGAGGTGATAATAGATATAGACATAAGATCTTCTCCCTCCTCGTTGTGCTCTGGTGCCGGAGTTGGAACTTGAGATGCCAGAGATGCTGGACCAGGATGCATAGCCGTTATATGTTGATCACTACCACACTTGATGCATTTCACAGAGACTTTACAGTCCTTAGCTAAATGGGAGATTGCTCTCAATCCACGACACTTCCTTAATAGGTGTGGTTTACGATGGATTGGACAATTCTTTCCTGGATTCTCAACTTGTTTTGGAGAGATATTTGTGACATGTTTAATGTCTGGGGAGATGTCTGTCTTGTGGACTCTGGGATTCTACCTGTCCGATAGACTGGTTTATCTTTTATATTATTGAAGAAAATAAATGGAGGAAAGAGGCAGTCATGATATATCCATTTTTCCTGTACGGCATGTGGAAGTTTCTCAACTATTGGACTGATACCACCAGTCTATGTCAGACTTGAGAGGTTCTGTCATTCTCTTTAGCTGGATACCATAATGCAGTTTCGACACACTGTGTTTAATCTGTTGCAGTGGTTGATGTTGCACCAGCTGGTTACTTGCCTTTTTACTGTACTTTCCTCTTACTGGCCAGCCAGCCAAACTCCCTCAATAAGCAACACGAGAGTCAGGATGTAGCATACAGCAGAGGAGTAAAACAAAAAAACAGTAGAAGCAGATATTGTTTTACTTATATCGTGACAGTAACTATATAGACTTGTTTGCTAAAGCACTTCATATACAGCCCAAATCACACAAACTGTGCTCAAAATATACTGAACATAAATTAAAGCCTGAAGCATGATGTAAATATGTCATATAAGTTGACCACCTAATACAAACATAAAATGTCCCATCAATGACAAATATTGTTCAATACTGAGAGATATCCTTGCAAACAATAAAGAAATACTTACAGGCAATGCTTACGCTGGGCCAAATCAAAGGACTACAACAGATGTTAGAACACCTTGTTAATCTGCTGGGATCTGCTGAACGTGTACTTCTACTTCCTGTTTCCTGTTTTTGGTTTCCTACTTGTAACACCAGTAGGTGGTGAAAAAGCAAACCAAACATGAGACAAACTGCCAGGAGGGCAGAACAAGTATCGTAATTTACTGTGTGTTGCACTGGCAGTTTCTGTGTTGAAAAACTGCCAGGGCACTGATTCTTAACATATCATTAGAATGATAAAGAACTTCACTGCATACAGTTGTATGCAACTGCTTGGGCACCCCTCGACAAATAACACATTTTGGGGATTTTTTCATTTCAAAGATATTTTCAGTTTTGTAACATAAATTGAACAAAAACTAAAAACATAATTGGGCCATTGTGGTTGTGTTACAGCCAGTGGCACAGGATACACCAGGTGCACAGGAAACAAACATTCATGTTATAGTTACATTTATTTTGTTCAATTTATGTCACAAATTAAACTTGCATCAATGTTTGCCAAAAATATTGTTTTGGTATACATATATATATATATATAATATATATATATAATATATATATTATATATATAATATTATTATCCTTAAATATGCTCTTCTCTTGCTTTAGGGCTATGATGGTGTTTACTGGCTTGACTGTGAGGGGGTTGAACGCCACCTCAGAGTTTACACTCTCCATCAATCCCTCAGGTGTTGTCATGTGGTACGTCTACCCAGAAAAAGAGTCCAAACAGGCTGTCCTGCCCCACTACCGGCACAACAAAGGCTCTCAATTCACATTCCACAAAGCTAATGCTGGGCATCATACTGTGTTATGAGGGATTTTATAGAACCATTTACAATGCTGACGGGCTCAATGAAAGCTATGTGAACTTGATCTTGACTTATCGTTGAACAGATGTTCTACACTGATGTGTTTTCTTGAAACCAATTCTTTAATGTTGTGTTATTTGTTTGCCATTTCCTTAAAAATTAATAAAAGTTTCACTAATTGTTTTACTCGATTCTGATGTTTGTCCAAGTTATCAAGTAATTTTGTTAATTTTTATTTATATATATATATATAATTGTAAATTATACCAGTGTAGCAAGCTATCTGTCCATGTTTCATTCTGTGGATTAATAGTAGGAAACTAATGTTTTCACTTTTATAAGTTTTTTTTAAATAATCTGAAGTGCCTCAAATGTAGAAAGAGGGGAACAAAGCAGTGGACCAGTTTGAAATAACTGAGCTGCAAATTCTTGATGGATCTTTATAATAGATAAAATACATAATCAGTGAATTGTCCGCATGGAGTAATCAACAGTAAAATAAGTGAGTAGAGAATTTCTTCGTCAACTAGTAGTTGTTAGTTCAAACCATTGATCCGCAACATTTATAATATTAATTTAATTATCTCAATATGTATGTTTTAACAGCCACCTGTTAAATGATAACAGCAAGTGCTGTAATGATTCTGAATTTGTCAGAACAACCAGCAAGGGTTAAAAAGTTGACTAAGACTCTTCTCTTCCATCAACGGTCTATTAGGGGACAGCCCTAAAAAGTGATTCTGACTCTGAAATGAAAACTTTCACACTCACTGCTGGAGTTTTTATGACTTCATGATGATTCACTCAGTTAGACCCTCATCACGTATATGAACATTCATTGCAACAGTTTTATATATAAGAAGATGTATAAAACCAGACATACCTTTCCTTCAAACATCTCAATCAATGTGAAATTGACTGCACATGCATGAGCCACTCGCTCCGGTTAGCCTCCTCCCATAATTAACTAAATGTGCTCTAGTTACATTGGCAGTATTTTAAGTAATGGGGATATAATTCCAGTTTCTTCCATTTACTCATTTTATTTAAGTAGACTTTGCATCATAACAAAAATCTAAGCCCCCAAATTAATTGGCTACCATTTTGATAATCAATTAATGGTAAATTGTTTTATTTTAATTTACCTTACATTAACAGTAAATGAGTTACTCAAATATTTTGCTCATGCTTACATTGTTGGAGTGAATACATTGAAATAGTTTAAAGCATTCTGTTTCCTCAAACTGTTTGAGTTGAACTAATTCATCAGGTTTTACAGTGTACATAATATACAGTTTTATTTGTGTATTTATTGATTGGATCTGAACATTAATACAAAAAAATAGGAAAAATACAATAATGGGAGTAAATGGTCTAAAAATCTAATATTTTCATGTCAATATCAATAGTTTTTTTTAATGTATTTTATAAGATTTTATTTTGTTTTTAGGATAGGTTTACTTATCCTGTATGGATTAATTTTTGAATGTTTACAATAAATATGTATATTCATGTAAGAAGGACATAGAGGTAAGCAATATTTCTAGGTATGACTTAGCTTAATTTTGTTAAAATGATTGATGATTGATTGATCCTGACAGAACCTGATAAATCATCAGCTTTTTGCTGAATGTATGGGTCCTGGCTGTCAGGCCAAGATGACTTTGTGTGTTTAAATTCCTTCTTTTTAACTCTCCTCTCAGGTCAAGAAATCAACAGTAGAATTCATCTTGCACCATAACTCAAAACCAGAGTTTTCAGGTCGTCGTAGGAGACCTGATGTCCTCCACCTTTTCTGACTACGAGATGAAGAAGCTTCTGGGGAGTGGTTCCTTTAGAGAAGTGGCCCAGTGCAGGAAGGTGTCCACCAATGAAACGGTGGCAGGAACTTCACCAGTCAAAAGAAGAAGAAGTCTGGACGGAGGAGAAGGGGGAACCTACCCGACACAGTAAAACAATGTTGGTGTGTCCCTCCGGTGAGACTGAAGACTGCAGAGCCAAGCTGAAACCTTCATTAGGGACCGAGCCAGCAACCGCTTGAGGTCCCTATTGTATTTGCTAGAATTCTT